CAATTGGAAGAGTGTAGTCAATGTCACTGAACTGTGCATGTAGAAATTTTTGAAATGGTGTATTTTTGGCTATGTGTATTTTCACCAAAAAAAAAGGTTGAGAAGAGGGTTAATATGTTGTGGGGTTGTTAACCAATGTCATAAAACGTGTACTACTGTTTCATCAGAAACTATTTGTTCTGTAAGCCTTCACCTGAAGTACAATAGAAAATAAAAAAAATAGAAAGATTCTGAGCACACACGCACACTCCACACAGATCATCACAGGACACTTCTTCTTTACAGGTGAGGAAACTGAGGCTAATTGGTTAAATGACTTGACGTTACCCAAAAAACAAACAGCCCTATTCAAACTCTAAGTTGACTCTGAAATTACCTCAGACCTCATTTTTCATTACCTTGCTTTTCCCTTTGTATTCTAGTTTCTTTATATAAGCCATCTCATGTTATTGGGAAAATGTAGAGAATCAAAGAATAACACAGAAATGTGAATGAATTAGTGTCTTACTGTCGCTTACCTACCCTAGAACAGTCCAAATTGACTGCTACATCTATCTTCCTGGAAGGCTGCACCACATGATCCTTTCCAGTTCTAAAATTTGACACGAAGTATTGCTTTAGAGGGCTATTCTTTTAATGTTGATAAACTCACTTAAATATATATTGTTTTCATCACCTGAACTTAGCAGTAAAAGTGCAGTGCTCAAAATCAGACAACCATGTGAATCCGCCTGAGAACATTATAAAGACATATTGCATAAGCATATTATGTCCGTATGTCTTATAAGCGGTTTTGTTTTATAGCTTTAAGGTTGTCTTGTTCTCACTTGTCCTAAGTAGAGGCCATCAGCAGCCAGATTAGCATTTAAAATTTATCAACAGCCTTAAGTAAACGATTTTACTTACCTACACTGTAAGTGGTAAATTGGACTTGCATATAGATATTCTGACCCACAAATTTGAATCCATTGCATTTTAAGACCAGATCTTTTTTTTTAAATCTTGATTTCTGGCTCCCTCCACTTGAAAATTTGGGAGATTTGAGAATCCTAGACCCACATTTTTATCCAGCAGCAGAGTTAAGCTAAATAGTAGCTGTCTCCTTTATCTTGGACATTGATTCATTCATCAAATATAGAATTCAGCAAATTATGTATAAAACACTTGTTTCCAGCACTAGGGTTACTAACCAGTTGCTGTCAATTCTGACTCATAGCAATCCAATGTGTGTCTGAGCACAACTGTGCTGTTCTATAGGGTTTTCAATGGCTGATTTTTCAGATCACCAGACCTTTCTTCACAGGCGCCTCTCGTTGGACATTTCAGTTAGCAGCCAAGTGCATTAACCATTTGCACCACCTAGGGACTCCACTAGATTCAGGCCTCAAGGAGCTTTCTTGTGTGCTCACCTCACCACACCCAGCCTTTTTCCATCTAGCTTTTATAGGTCTTTGCCTTTTCTACTGTCAATATCCTACTTTTCTCTAAAAACGTCTGTCTCCAATGGGAATGGAGACATGAATAGTCAAAAAATGGTTTATTTGTAACAAGGTATGAAGTGTCATTAGGGACTGAATCTTATGCAGTGGAATTAACAGCTTTTTCTTCTTGCTCTTCCTAGAAATAAAATCATATGTAGTTAATAGAAAGGTTTAAGATAATGCTACATTTGTACTATTACAAGACATGCTAATGATCTACTATTTACAGAAAATGACATGCTAAAAGGCAAAATACTTACAAGAAGGCGTACTACCATCTATTGAGCAAGTGCGTGCTTTGAAATGTGAGGGACTTCAGATCTCCTAATCCAGTGCCCTACTTTTATAGATTAACAAAGTAGTGGTTGAAATCTGGAAATAAACTTGAGCCTCTATCTCACTCCTTGCACAACAAAATAAATTCCAGAAGGATCTAAGAATTTAAAAATGGGCAGTAAGAAAATCAAGGACAACTATTTTTAAAATCTTTTGAGTGGGAAAGATCTCCCAAAGCCATGAAAAAATTGATAAATTTTCATATAATACAAACCTCTACATGAAAAAAGCATCATAAAGTTACAACACAAATGACAAAAAAAACTTTACATAGTACCAAGGGTCATTATCCTTAACATAATGCTCCCAACAAAGTATTACTAAAAAGATCAATGAGACAAAAGGCCATAGGAAAGAAAATACAAATAGCTGTTAAACATAATATACTAAATCCTTAATAGGAGAAACAATTTTTTACCTATCAGAATAGCAAAGACTAAAACGTTTGAGTGAGAACTACTGTGTTGGTGAGATGAGGAAACAGGCACTCTAAAATTCGTTGCTATGGAGTATGTTAGTACAACTTCCACTGAGGGAACTTCTGGCCGACCTAGGTTTACATATAAAGCATAAGAGCAATTTCTAGTATATAGTATTAGGCATTACTATAATTAACACATTTTAAAAAATGCATGCCCTTTGGCCAAGCCACTTAAAGGAATTTATCTTACACTCACATATGTGAAATCACATACAAGGATATTCATGGCAGCATTGTTCTTAAAGCAAAAAATCCAAACGTGAGTATCTTGAACTGGTTAATTATGATCTATTCAAGAGGACATTATGTAGCTAGCTGTTCAAAATATGGCAGCTGCTGTAAAGTAGAATGATCTCGATGAAAACAAGGTGCTTCCACTTGTGTACTATACAAGTGTGTTAATAACACGTGTAGATACACGATTGTTCATGCTTAAGTCTCTTGAAGAACTAATTATTGCATTACTGGAGTTGCCTCCTAGGAGAACAAAATGACTGAGAAACAAGAGTATTAATTATCCACTATATATCCTTTTCGTAATCAACTCAACGGCAACTAACAAGGTGGTAGTTTGCACTCAATTACTAACCTGGTTTGTGGTTCAAACCCACCCAGGTGTGCCGCAAAAGAAAGACCTGGTGATCTGCTTCCATAAAGATTACAGCCAAGAAAACCTTATAGAGCAGTTCTACTATAACATGTGGTTACTATGAGTTGGACAGCAACAGCTTTTCTTTTTTAAACATCCTTGTAAAGTTTGTACATTAAAACATTATCCCCAATTTCTTCACCTAACACCAGAAAATACTTAACAGCAGTTTTCATTTTATAATCAGTAAAAACCCTGAATTTGAAGCCATTGGGATGACCAGAGGGCAATCATTAAGAGGTTTTACTTGAGTACTTTTGCTCTGGGAATTGTTAATACCTCACTTCCATTTAATGACAGTTTGGTATTTCCTATTAAAATGAAATGTCTTATCAAATATTATTGCAAATACAGCTTAAGAGAAACCAAGTTTCCTCTAGCTGGGTAACAAGAATCCTGACTTCTGTATTGAAACTTGGTAGGCAACGAAGATTATCAAGTTTAATTATAAAATTGTCAACAAATAGGTTTCTTCTGCAAGCACTTACCAAATAGATGGTCTTTCACTTAATAACCTAAAAATCCTTGAGAATAGTTCTCTGAATTCAAGAACAAGCAACCACCTTCCTCAAACAAGCATTTCTAAAATAACTCTTCCCCACAAAATAAAAATTCTAGTACAGTCAAATTAGAGTCATGAGAGATCACTATAGCCATCTCAAATGTTTTCTTAGCCTATAGTTTACCAGAATTCTAAGGCTTAAGACCAAACTAATTTTAAAGATATCTCAAAATTCACTCTGGTATTCCACCTTGAACTAGCTCAATTTATTAAAAAATATGTAACATTGTCATTAAATTGTTGTTTTAAAGTATGTGTGCTCTTAGGTATGGAATTATACTAGCTCCTCTACCTCAAACTAAGATAAATTTTCCAATATAAAGTTCAAAAAAAAAAAAAACAAAAAAAAACACCCTGAAGAAGTTAGCTATTAAATGACCAGAGAAATTAAGAACAAATCTTATTCTATAAAACTGCATAAACTTTTTAAAGCTCATTAAATTCAAGATCTGTTTCTTAAGAACACTTTGTAAATATGAAAATTATGAGCATGTTTTACTTTCTATTAACCAGCAAAATACTTTACACAAAATCAACTGTGTCTAAGAACTATTGGACAAAAATATGAAAAGGTGAACATATGGTTCCAGACCATAAGAGTTTTTTAAAGTGAAAGTTAATTTAACATATTAAGACAAAGACAATAAAAATAATATACATAATTTTATTACAAAATTTTCTTTAAAAAAACAAAATGCAACATCCTAAAAACTCTAAAATTTACTACTGATACTAATTCCTAGGAGTTTGCTGTACTACCATACACAAGTCAAGAAATTAAAGAAACCATTAAATATTTAGAACATTCAACATCAAAAGCTTTAAAATCTAACTGTATGTAGTAGCCCCTCAAAAAGCTACAACCTGCATCTTAAAGTATTTTCTCTACGAAGAATCTTATCAGCTATACAAAAATCTGTACAGTTTTTATACTGAAGCTAATATTGAGCTGCACTTGAATTCACATTCTTAGCTAAACAATCGCCTGAGCACACACGCATACTCCACACACATTACAGGATAGCCACTTATTCTTCATCTTCATCCTCTTCCTCATCATCTTCATCTTCTTCTTCTTCCTCCTCCTCCTCCTCCTCATCTTCTGGTTCATTCTTCTTCTTTGAGCCTGTTGGCCTGCCAGGACCCTTCTTTCCTGCTTCACTTTTGCCCTTGGCACGGTATGCAGCAATATCCTGAAATATTGTCCAAGAAGAAGAAGAAAAAAAAAAAAAAAGCCAGCATCCGGTGTCATTACTCAAGTACAAAAACCACTTAGTTGTAAACAATCTAAGATTATTGACAAATAACTCTGGTGACTGTCTGAAAACATAATCTAACTCAAGTTTTGCGAGCATTTGTTCCCTCCAGGCTTTAGAAAGCTAATGATGTAAAATGACGAAGCTATGACAAAGCTGCATGAGATTAATGCCCGTTAAATTTCAATACCAACACCCATTTTCCTCATACAGTCTTCCTCTAACTTCACATTTTGAAAAGATAAAACTACATAAAAATATTTGGCCCTTCATTTTTTAAACTAAAATCTAACAAATCAGATTCTATATGCACAAGTTTTACCACTGCTACAACAGTGGTTTCAATCAAAAGAAATAAGTTTTCAATCACGGCTCTGGTTTGTTCCAGTTTCAACCACTGTTGAGAATTTGTATTTCTACCCCAGATATACTGAATCAGAATCTACATTTTAACAAGATCCCCAGGTGATTCTTATGTATAATACATTTTGAGAACCAATCCTCTACTAGTGGTTCTCAGAATTGGTCCCTAAGCAGAGCATTAGCATAATCTGGGAACTTGTTAAAAATGCGAATTCTGAGCAGGGGTTCCAACCAGAACGAACCGGTTCAAAGCCCTGGTTGCAATTAGCTTGTGTTGCTAAGTGTCTAATTTTCATCAGTCTTTTAAAAACACAGCTGGCAATCATTGATAACAAGATTATTTAAGTTTCCCAACTCTCTTCTACAATTTACACCTATTCTCACTTTGAAAACTTCCACCTAAATTGTAACCTTAGCTTTAGGAAGGTAAGACAACAAGGTACCTTTTCATATTTCTCCTTTAGCTTAGCTGCTTTTTGTTCATACGGCTGTTTATCTTTGGCTGATTGTTCAGACCACATTTCACCCAATTTTTTTGCAGTATCCCCAATGGATAGGCCTGGGTGTTCGCTTTTGATCTTTGGGCGATGTTCAGAGCAAAACAGGAAGAAGGCAGATCTGAAAAGCAGCAATAAAGTTAATAAGCGAAAGGAAAAAAGCCAGGTGGCAATTTGGTTGATTTTAAAATAAACTTACGGTGGCCTTTTGGGAGCATTGGGATCTTTTTTCTTTCCTTTCTTATCACCTTTGGGAGGAACGTAATTTTTCATCTCCCTGTCATAGCGAGCTTTGTCACTTTTTGCCATGTCTTCAAACTTCGACTTTTCCTTTAAAGACATGGTCTACGGGCATAATGGGCAGTAAAAATACATTTAAAAGTAATAAAGCAAAAACGTAACCAGTATACATCAAAAAAAGACCAAATGTGTGATTCAAGGGCCACTACTTCCTCAGTTAACAGCATTTTGTTTCAGCAATCTTAAGAATAAAAACCTGACGTAGTCTACTTTAAAACCCCAAGTTACGTGCGTGGAGTCACGAGGGTAGGAAAGTTCAAGGTGACGAGCTACCTGCCTGTCTGAGGGGGCAGCCGAAACCCACACCTGAAACCCCAGCTCCGTGGGCCCTCCGGCCTCACCTTCCATCTCTCAGAACACTTCTTGGAGAACTCGGCGAAATTGACCGAAGAGTCAGGGTGTTTCTTCTTGTGCTCTTCTCGGCAGGTCTGCACGAAGAAGGCGTACGAGGACATTTTGCCCCGCGGCTTGTTGGGGTCTCCTTTGCCCATGTTGAGGGGCGGCGCCGGGCTGCAGGGAGAAAGGCGGCGGTCGGCGGAGCCCGCGGCTGCAGGCGGGCGTGGCGGGGCCCCGCTTCCCGCCCAAAC